TGACCATTTCAGCCAACATAATGAACCGGTATGCCTACTTCTCAATTAGAAGGAAGTTAGTTGGAGTCAAAAATACTATACTTTCTTTTTTATGTTTTGGTTTTGGTTCTGTATTCAGAAGATCACTACACTGCATTCAAATTCATGGAAATCTCTTGAGTATACTTTAAAAAAAAAACCTTTTTGTAGGAAGGTCATAATACCTTCCTCAAAAACACTCGAGATGAAGATAAACTTGTGATAAAATGTAGGGTGTATTGTATTGTTATTACATTGCTTATTGTTGTACATGGGATTCATCTTTGCAAGAAAATAAATGTCTGAAGAAAGTTAAGTTGCAATCTATGTCGAAAAGTAAAAGAGAGACCCTACTGATAAAAGTCAGCAACAAAGAATCTGGGCTACATCTCCTGGAAACCATGAATATCTTAACTAAATTTGAAGGCAAAACATCCAGAAAGTCTTGAGCCGTTTCACCAAAATCAACACCAGCTTATGCAACTTATGGGCTAATGTCAAAAGCCAGTAGTCTCCACAGAAGAAGAATATCTCGATCCTTTTGCTTTGCTCTCATGTCGATTTTCCCATAACGTACACGTGTTAGAGATGCTACTTGATAAGAGGGTATTTGAGGAAATTCACAGAATAACCCAGTGAGATTACCAACCAAACCCGGTAAGACGCTGAGAAAAGATCGTATCTCTCCCCTCCAGTCCCTCTGTCTCGCTCCACCTCTCCAACACTGATGGATATCCAGCGTTACGTCTCCACTCAGCCATGCACACTCGCCCGCCCATTTCCCTGCTGAGGGGTCAGCTCTGCTCGCCTCTGTCGGAAAGCTTTTCGAGGAGCCTCATCTTTAGCTGCTCTGAGCTAACAGCAGGTAGTTTCACTGTTGAGTCCCACAAAGTGATTTATTGGATCCCTTGACTTTGAAGTAACTTTTGCACGGAGGTAATATTTGAAGAATGGCGTTTCAAAGCGAGACACCTGTGCAAGATAGCTCCATAATAATGAGAAAATATGAGCTTTTACTGCCTTTATATTGAGTTTGTTTTGAAGATGTTTCAACATCTTATGGTGATGACCTTTAAATGACCCATTTTTCCTGACATTTTTAGCACAAGTCAATCTACCACATAATTTATTTCTTGGATTTCTCACCTTATCCTGAGAAAAAAACCCACTATGAATTCCCACATTTCGTAGATGTGAAAATGAAAAGCTTGGTTGAATGGCATCTCTGCCGCCTCGGGGAACAGATGACCTTAAAGGTTAGCGTCAGAGCATTCTTGTCCGTGACTCTCGGGTTAACATCCTCTCAAACTCTCCAAGGAGAAGAAGCCAAACAAAGCACTATGGGATTTCACAGAATGAAACACATGTGACATGTCATTAAGGTCTGAAGATTCCCAGGCAAATGTGTAATTATAGGGCTCATCTTGTGGTGTTTATGAGAGGCTGATTTTGAGTTTTTGTTGTTTGTCTTGAAGCCAAACCGACTACATCCAAAGGTAATAGCTTCCGAGGTTGATTAACTTTATTCGATCTCTACCCTGTGGCCTCATTCTTTGTCTCCGTTACGCTGTCTGATCTTGTGGGAACTGCAGGGCACCAAATTGCAGAAGAAGAATTGTGATTTATAGTCTGGAGTAGAGAGTAAAACGTGGTTTCAGAACTTGTGCAGTATTATTAAAAATGTCAATTATGGGCCTGGGGACATATCTAACAGGTGGAAAGAAGAAACCTGAAAACAAACAATTTGGAGGCAAATAACCGACAGACACAAGCACCAAGCACATGAAAAAAAGAATTGCACTCCAGAGTGTGTTTACAGTATGTGCTGTCTCTCTGTGACTTGCAGTGTGCATGTCTTTGTTGGAGAAGAGGTTCATGAGTCACTGCCGTCTTTAGCCCGAGGCGCAGCAGCCAGCCAGCTGAGGGAGCGGATGCATGTTTTATTTTAGTCGCTCTAATATGCCGTGAAGACATCATTATCTTGAAACATGTTGTATTCCAGAAACTCTATTGTTCAAAATGGCACAGAAGACGTGGATAAATGTTTCATCCTCATCGCAGTCATAGAGATCATTAGACGTGCGATTCATTAGATGTGGCTTCTGTTATTGCCAGCTAAGCAGTGTGTGACTGTGTGAACCCTCCACTGCGAGAGAGGGATGTTATCTTTTCTGTCATGCACATACCAGTGCTGTCCATAGGGAAGAGGTGAGCATGCAAGGAAGTTGGCTGATTGAGGGCATGGGGCACAGAGGAGCGCTGCACATGGCTACACAGCTTGCCTGTGAATGCAAAGGATGTCTCACAAGATATCCTTTTGTCAGCATCAACTCCCTTTGAAAAGAATGAAGAGATGAAGAGCACAAAGTGTGAGAGATATTTTCTACATCCTCACATTTCAGCCATATTTTCTCTCGAGATCCATTTCTTACCTCTGCAGATTTAAAGAGTTTACATTTCATTCCATGCTTTCTTCGTGCTACAAGTGTTGTAAGAGCTTTTTGACCTCTTCAAGCCTTTTACTCTTCATGCACCTTGGTAGCTGGTGAAATTGTGCCGGAAAATCCCGCTCTCCTTCTCCATGCTTTCAAGTCAAAGAACTCAATGAAACAATTTATGGGATGTATTGCTTAATCATAGTGATGTGAAATTTTCCTTCAAGTACATCAGAATTAAGTTAAAAAATAAGACGAAGTAAAATGATTTTGACATCTAGGTGATTGTCGATGAGAAGGTTCACCACTTTGGTCTGACTGAAATTGTGTAAAATATGTGCATGACAGTTTATGACAGGCAGAAATGTATGGATAAAAATGAACCTACATATTAAGACAGACAGCCCTGAGGGCCAAGACACACATCAAACAATCACATCTCTAAAAACATTGTTTTAGAGAGCACAACGTTATTCTGAACACAGCCACATTTAGGGATGTGTGACTCGGCCTTGGATAAGCTGAAGGTAATGGATGGATGCATTACTATTCAAAACTGTTAATTATTCAAATGTAATTCAAATAACTGCCAATCTAATTCATATAATAATGCCAAATAAAATAGATTGTAGTATAAGTAAGGAGATGATTAGTTAGCGTCTTAGCATCTCTAAACTCTAACGCTACAGTTAATACATTTCACAAAACGCATTTTATAAAAAATATACATTTTACAAAATCAAGATATTTTCCAGATATAACAGAATTTCACAGAGAACAAAGCAACATGTAACAAACAACTGTACTATTACTAAAGCACAACTTCACAGTCCGGCACCAACAAAAAGCAAGTATCAACCTTTCAAAAAAACACCAAACTCAACATTTCACAAAACTCAACCGGAGAAGTGAAGGTTAACTTATTTACGCTGCGTGTGCCCAACAACAACAAAATCAAACTCAGTGACCTCTGTCTCATGCAAACACACACATACACACACACACACACACACACACACACACACACACACACACACACACACTCAGACACACACACCCTCAAACACATGCAGTCAGAAAGGAGGAATCCCGGCTCTCCCTCCTTTAAAATGGAGCAGCCACCCAGCGCGTTCGTAACCTGATTACCCCAGCTGTCAGTCTGAATAAGGCCAGGCTTCTGGATCCTCCCGTCCACCGGTCTTCAGAACGAGACAGAGCCGGTCCTCCTGAAGAGTCTGGAAACAGGATAAGAGCAAGACAGACACGAAAAACACAGCACCGGGGAAACAAGTCAGCAGGTAAGAGGATGCAGGAATGTTGACTTTTTTTTTTTAACTTTCAGTTGATAGTAATGAGTTTAAGTTTTAAAACCATCATGTCTGGTTTATCTTCAAGTACAACACTGTGCGTGTGTTTGAAAGGGTTGCACTTAGGTGTAAAGATATGAAGTAAAGGAGAAGGATTGTTGTCATTATATTCTTCTTGTAATATGTTGAACCAACCCTAACAGCATGTCAAACTTTTAAATAGACAGAAAATCTCTATGAATGATAAATATAAACAAACTTCAAAATGATATGCTTCTGTATTCATTTAATACAGGTCTGATTCCTATTTCAGAAAAAGGAAACTTTCTAGTGTCCTGGACCAGTGCATGGTGCAGAGACAGCTTCTCAAAGAGTAAAACATTTGACCATTTAAAGACAGCAGAATTATATTTTTTAAATAAAAACTTAACTTTCATATGAACAGGACAAAAAGAAAAGTTTTCATTCTTTCTTCTGGGATTATTGCCTTGATGATTGAAGCACTTAAACCTCATGTGAGGAGTTTTTAGGTGGTTATGTATCACACTTCAATAAGTATTCGTGGCCCTCTATCAGCTGCATAATTAATCTAAACCAGCTGGACAAGATCTGATTATTTCTATAAAGTGATTTTGAATGTCTGCACTGCCGCAGGGAAGGTGTCACAGCATGTTGTAGAAACAGTCTTTTTCCTACATTTTCCACAGCAAAGATTCGCCTTGAGTGATACATTTGAGTGTTTAAAGAAAGCAGAATTAGATTTTTGTTAAAAACTCTTCTTGCATATGTACAGGACAAAATCAGCAAAGAGATAAAAGAAAATAAAAGGAAAAAAAACAAACCTTTAACATTTTAAATCTTGCACTTGAATACTTGAAACTTCCACTGATATACTAATTCATGACAAAGGTTTAGTTTAACATTCTGTTTTAGAAGATTATTTTTTTAGTAAGCCAAACTGAATATGAATATGAAGATGTTAAATGCAACGTCTTAATGTCTTTGAGGATTAAAAAGTTCCATCACATTACAGGTCAAAGTGGAAATGAAAGTGTCTGACCATGTGCTCTGTTTAAGATAATCTAACAAGAAGTCACAGTTCAGAGGATAAAGGAGGGGTATACTTGAGGCAGCGAGTCACTAAGGGGAGGGGTAACAGGATACAACATGTGGGTGGACCTTTGTGATTGTTTCTGTACACACAACAAGTCACTTACTTTCACACTCACTTTCCCTCTGAACAGCAGCACTTTCTATGTTTCAAAGTCGACTGGAGCCTTTGATTCCTCAAGTCAGCGCTGATATTTCAATTATCTGTGTCTATCAGGGCTGCCTTTGACTGACTTAAAGTCTGAATCCTGCAGGAAACTGAGCTGCTCTTGGCAGCTCCAAAACCATGGCAGAGTGCACACCGGACACAAACCCAGCCGCAAAGGTGATCCAGAATGCAGACAAGGCTGACTGTAAGGACACATGTGGAGTTTCAGCTGAGTCTGCAGCTGTTGCAGCGGTCAAAGTCAGACCTTCAGACCTGGGGCTGATTCGAAGCATGTCCAAGTCGGACTCTGACTTGTTGGCGTCACCGCTCGGGGAGGAGGATGGAGGAGGTCTAGCCGGCCGCAGTGGGTCCGTGTCTAACTGCAGCTCTGGGCAGCCGTCCATGCAGCGCATGCCTTCTTTTGCCTCCGAGTGGGATGAGGTAATACTCGAGCTCTCTGGGGATGGGAAAGAAGTGGGAGGATGTGGAGGAGAGAGGGAGTGGAACTGTCGGGGTTAACAAATGGGCACACTTCCAAGCAGAGTTGATGTCTTTAAGAGGGAGTGTGTTAAAGAGTGTGAAAGTGTTAGAAAAAAACAAGATGCAGCTAAAAAAGAGGAGAGAAAATGAGGCAATACATTTCAGGGAAGAGAAAGGAAGGAAGGAAGGAAGGAAGGAAGGAGTGAGGAGGAGGGGGGCAGAGGCTGCAGTTGGAGAGCGATCAGGAGTCCAGCAGTGATAGACTGTAGTAACTTTACCCAGGCTGTTGGCGAGGAGCGCCTGCGGCTGAGTGCTTGAATGCATGAATGGCTTGATCACTTGCACCGACCTCCCTGTAGCAGCCCTGGCATCCAAGACTAATTGGGCTTGTGCTGTCATCCCACATCCACTCAGTACATGTCTCAGGGGCCGGCCCACGCTTCCTCTGTCTCCTCCTGCACTCCTCTGGATCCTTTGCTACGTCTTGCGCCATCTACTTTCAGCTCACTGTGAGCAACCCCGAGTCCCTGTCCTGCCCCTCCATAAGTCTGAACTTGTGAATTTCTTTTAGCACGATGGAGCATCAGTGCAGCAGACCTTAAAGCAATGCAAATATGAATTATTACATTTTACCAAAACTTCTTAACACACATAAATATTGAAACCTTTAGGAACAATGGCTGAGGCTATTATTATAACAGTACACAGCTTGCAGGCAAAATTATGAAATCATGAAAAACGTCTTCAGAAAAATAGAACGTGTCTAACACCGTTTAGTGAGTGCTGGAAACCTCAATCACACACAAATCAAAAACTGTTTATCTTATTCATACAGCAAGTTAAAAGTATGCATATGGTACACAAAATACCCCCAAAATAAGTAATGCAGGTTTAGTCAGAACGCTTAAAGAAAAAAGCCTTTACCATGGTGACTGCTGTAGTACAGTAAAAGCACGCAATAAGACGGGCTTATTAATTAATGTACTTTATTGTTTTTCGAGGGGGATCTATAACTATTTTACGTTTTTTCAGAATCAGAATCATTATCTTATTGTCAGGAATGGGAAGAATTTGACCCTAATCAAAACAATGAGCAATAAATAGAGCACAAATAGTTAGAAGCTATTAAACAGTAGTGCTCCTGCTGGATATATAATTACTTCACAGAATTATGACTGAGTGATTCAAAGTATATTATTCGACTATTGCTGTAAACAATAGTAAGGATGTAGTTATGATGAGTATAATTGAACTACTTTGTATCATTTTGTCTTAGTCTTGCCGTGGCCCAGTGTTTAACGCACTTGAACTTGCAGTGATCTCAAAACCGCACAGACTTGGACTTGGTTAGCGATCGCTCTTGGAGTCTTTACAAGTGCTTTGGTGAAGCGATGCTCAAAGGTGGTCATGGTCATATAAGCAGGGTCATTCTTTCACAGTATGTCTGGAGCATGTAGCTCTTCAGTGCATACAACAAGGGCAGTCGGGTGTCACTTCAGACATGTTGAACTTTAGCTTGGCTCTTTGCGCCCCTCTGTTTGTCAGGGCTTTCTGTCCAGTGCTAGCTCTCTGCTCCACGCCTTTGCCCTCTGACAGACATGTTTATTCAGGCCGCGTTGGGTGGGGTGTCCTGTTCTCAAGGGCATCCTGTTTTGCAGCTGCTACCGAGTGTCTGTTTCTCTTCCAGATTTCAAGGGATTTGTTTGGGTTGGCGATATGTGTGTGTTTGTTTCTGTGTGAGGGTGTGTGTGGGTGGCGAGGGGCAAAAAATGACTCTGCCTGGTGAGTTTATCTCATGAAGCGATCAACTACCACCACACATTAAAAGTGACACACGAGGCTCAGAGGGAGGCTGAGCTCATGGTCGGGCACATACACACACACACACACACACACACACTGTATGTGCACATGCACTCACATAAAGCAGTGCTGAATACAAATGCTGACATTCTGATGTTAATTTAGAAAGAAATTTATAAGATGGAAAATAACCTTTAAACCCCATTGACATTTTAGCTGCATATAAATTTAACATTTATTATTGTTATCACCTCATACTGTATTAAATGTCCTTGGTATTGTATTTAATTAGATTTATATCCTTAAAATATGCCTCTATATATATATATATATATATATATATATATATAAAAAGGACCATAAAGAATCTGGATGTTTCTGTTAAAATATACATTTTCAATTATTCAAATGAAAGACTGATTATATCGCAGCAAAAATAAATATGAATAGTGTAGGACACAGCACAATAACAGCAATAACGTGCAGAGGAAACACTACTATTCCTAAAAAACAAAACTCAAAAGCTGTACTGAAAGATGGGTTGTTATGTAACATACATTTATGCATCTCACTTCCCCCCACACATGTATTTATACTTTATACTAGTTTGAGCAGTGAATGTTAATGATAAAACAAAGCCTGTCTTTTACCTTAAATATATAGCTAAAAGATTAAACTCATGAGCATTTAGCCTTTAGTTCCTGACGAACAAAGCTGTCTTCAACTGGTTTATGATTTAAAATAAAGCTTATAGTGAAACAAGTTATTAAGCATATGCAATTTTTCTTTCACCTGTTAGACTCAGTTGTGTCTGACTGGAACTATTCAACATGCTCCCGTCGATTTTTGGCCAGTAATCTTCAAAAAAAAAAGGAAACATAACCACTAAACCACAGAACGGATCTATGAGTGCAAGGTACATCCACTCTTGCTTTTTTTGTGTTGATGCATTTTTTATATGCCCTTCAGTTTGATACTAAAAATAACCTTATTATGTAAGGATCTTGCATTTAACTGACCATCACACAGTTAACTAATTACAGAAATGAAGCGGCATATATGATTAAGGTGATTGACGTCTACATCACAGCTGTTCCATATATTCACAAGGCAAAGGTTAAAAAAAAACACATGTTACAGATGCTTGAGTGGCTTCATTCGTGCGTACTCTGAATTTCCCAGTGGTATTCCTCAGTTCATTACACATGCAAGCTTTTAAATATGTGTTTGTGTTCATATGTGGCTGTAATGGCTGTGGTTTTACTAAACACAAACGTATGCAGATTAGGGTGACTGATTTAAAGAACATATAATTATGTTATGTTTTAATCTTTAAGAATAAGAATATGTGTTGTATGCCATTGTTATGAATTTATTTTAAACTCATAGTGTTAAACAGATCAACTTGAGGCTTTGTTATAATTTCTAATCCTGCATTACGTTTCACTGTTTATGAAATGGAAATGGCCACAATGAAAATGAAAAAGAAGGAGTGTGTTAATGTCGGTAAATTCAGTTCATAAAGCAGGAATAGTTTGTGTAATGTGTAAGCTGGTCTATAATTCATATAGAGGGCTACGGCAGAGTGAACACATCCCAAGATCTGGTTAGACAGATGTGGTACATGAATATGAGAGTGGAGGTGATGGTGTTAGGGGGATGCTGGGCGGGGGGGAGTGGTCCTTTTTCACGTGCCTTATTGTCCGTAAAATTTATCATCGCGTGTAACACATGAGAAACCACATTGCATCTAACCTTGTATCTATAATTCCAAACATACAAGAGCTACACCTAAGCTATTGTGTGGTTTTAAAAATGGATGTTCGCCAGTTTGACAATACAGGCTCTTAGATTTGCAGTCACAAGGGTAACCTAGTTTCACAATGTTTAAATGATCATTTATAAGTAAAGAAACCTTTTCTTTAATTTAAGTAAATCCCAAACTTAAAGCCTGCTTGCTTATGAATGATCACCAGCTGAAAACTCAGATTTAATTTTCATGAATTGTATTGACTAATCTACTTTTGTCTCTCTGTTTTAGCTGTTTAAACAGATTATTGTCAGATGGTACTATGTAGCATGAGGCAAGTTTTGGTTTTGGATACCTGAACCGTGCAGCGTCTCAAAGAAGCAAAATGAGGCAGTAAAATTACTCCCCAGATGTGGTTGTTCAAAAGTATCAAAAGCAGATTTTTGTTACGTCATTTTTTGAAATAAGACTAGCAAAAAAAAAAAATGTAATATTGTAAGTGAAGTTGAATAAATTCCTTGATATTAAAATCCTGCTCTTTTTAGAGGTGTTATAAGAGTAATTGGTTTGTCATTTAAATTGGTGTGTGCCATGATAACAGGCTCATAATTTACAACAGAAATCTCAAATATCTGATAGCAAATGTTTCTCATTTTTGCTTTAAAAATAAATATTATAAGGATGTTTTAAGGTTCTTGACAAAACCAGACCTTTGAAGACATTACATTTTGTTTCCAAAATTATAATCAGAAAAATAATTGTCTGACTATTCAAAAATGAAAACAGCTCTTTGTTGTGACCTGACCTCTTATTATCCATCAGTTACATATCAAGGTGATAAAACTTGTTTTGTATACAGGTGTAACAATAAGAACGGAGGAATTTTATTTATTATAATCTGACTTTACCCAGCATAAAGTCCCATTTAAAGCTCTACCTGACAAGCTGGATACTACAGTATGTCGGATCATTCAGCAGAGGTGGCACTGCCAGAATATACATTTTAAGAAAGCATTGAATAGCGTTTGAAGAACGAGGCTGGTCGTCACCATGAATCACTGACAAAAATCAATACAGAGAGCATTAAAGAAATGCAATTTCTTTTGACCTTTAGGCCATAAGAATCAATCTGTTTGACACTACTTAATAAAATAGTTGTAACTAAAATAAGATAATCTTTTTTTTTTTAAGATTTATTTTTGGGCTTTTTGCCTTTAATGTAGAGATAGGACAGTGGATCGAGTCAGAAATCAGGGAATAACATGCAGGAAAGGAGCCACAGGTGGGATTCAAACCCTGGCTGCCCGCTTGGAGGACCACAGCCTCTAGCTTCCACTAGCACCGTGAAATAAGAGAATCTTTTAAGATAAAAAAATCCCTCTCCATACACAGATGATACATGTAGAGA